TTGCAGTAGAAACCATACAAGGTTTCTGTGCCACACTTCGTTAAATTTGGGCAAAGTTTACAGAGTGTTGGCCTTTCGACTTTAATTTAAGCGAAGCTGGCGGAAAGTAGTCCACCAAAGCCAAATCTAGCAAGGAATTGTGTACCGCGGCTGCCCCTTTACGGAAGAATTGTTTGTCAGTGGCTGCATTGTGGGATAGCATATTGCTGGCAACGAAGATAAGGGTGAAAGCGTGTTTATATTTACTGACCGGTGTGTATAATAAAGATGATCGTACCCACGTTGAAACTCTGGTTAGATACGAGAGCTCGAAACACGATGAATTTGTCACGCGGATTTAACCTTGACAGTCTCTATTGCGGAAATAACACCAGATAAAACCGAAAAGTATTTCCATTAAGAAAAATATCGAAAATTTAATAAAATATTGCTTATTTCAGCGAAAGAGTAAAATACTCGAAAGTATCGAATAATACGAACAAAACTGGCTTACACCCCGACAATGGGAATAATTAAATTTTATAAATACGTTTGAATTCGAAAGCGAAGAATGTAACAACGTAATTTTATCCTTGATTCATTATACGAAACTTTTATCGTTATTAAAACTGGTTTCTAGTCGATAATTGGAGTAATTAAAATTTACGAATATACTTTAGATTTGAAATCGAAGACTACCATGATACAATATTTCGACATTTCTGGTTTTAATTATATTTTCTCGAATAACAAAATAAAAATCGACGAAAGGTGGATAATTACACGAGATTATTGACTCTGATGATTAATTAATAGGGAAATATTGTTTATGCTTGGAAGAGGTTAAGGTAGAACATCAGTCACGTTCAATGTCCGACCTATAACGGACTATACTACTGAAAACGTTGCGACTTCCCATTTCCATGGATTTACGACGTTCAAATACACTCGCCCTTCCTGCAAGTAATTACGACCGAATTACAAGACCCTAACTCCTATTTTAATTAACTCCGACTTTGAAGTTGATTCGCGTTTAAAATCCACTAGACCGTGAACGAGGAGAGCCTTTTTAACAAACGTTCGCTCCTGCTGGCACCTCTCGGATCAAAACCGATGCATCCTTCGCTGCGACCACTGGGACAAGTCAAAGTCAATTCCAGTTGGTAAGTTTAGCTCCGACAGAGGTAGATCGCCTCGTCTAATTGCCATCGTGGATGGTTAGGTGGCAAGAGCCAAACTTCCTTCCTTCATCACTCGAACCCTCTCTTACATTCATCAACATCCGGTCCATCCGCTTCGTCTTTCCCCATCCGTTTCTATTTCTTTGCATCTCGAGACCTGTCTCCCTGCATCCTGCAACCTTCCACCGCCTTTCTGACACCCTCGACACCCCATCCAGACCCAATTCCTCCGTGAATTCCTCAGCGAACACCGTTCGATTCCTAGCATTCTGCTCGTCGGAGCCTCTGCACCCCCAGCAGCGGTCGTGATCCAGAGAAAAATACCTCGGACTCAATAACATTTTGATGAACCTGTTTTCAAATCGTACCACCTCCCTCCACGATTTGTTGCTCGTTAATTTCGTCCGAATAACCTGATTCCCTTTAACCGAGATTGAATCCCTGACTGCGTCTGACGGGTAACTGTTAGGGCTTCGTGATCGATCCCTGAAAGAGCTCCAGACCTTTCGTACCGCGACGATTTTCGTTTAGGACAGGTCTGCCAGCTTGGAATCTTGCGAACGTTGCGGGTCGGAGATTTGTTGGGAATAGTTGGAATTGCTTCGGTATTTGTAATGGGAATGCGGAGGACTCCACAATTATCCCGTCGGTTTTGGAAAATTTTGTATTAACTGAGCAGAGGTGAATCGCAGACCTTTATTTATTAAACGTTGAAAAGGAAATCGGTGTTTCTCAGATTTTGGTACACTCAGGAAGCCATGATAAAATTTCTGTTATTCTTGGGATACAATGACGAATTATCAAACAAAATTGCAAAGAAGGAAAAGAATGGTGCAAATTATTAATGCTTTCTATTCGAAGTTCTCTATTTATTCACGTTGTTCAAATATTCCAAAATCGGTTAATGAATGATGCAAAGAGTAATAACATATGCAACTCGCGAGTAAAAGTTGAACGAAACTCTGTATAGTTTGATGGAATGCTTAAGACTGTTTTATTCTCTAGCTCGATCAACTTTCATACATGAGATTTTAGGGGGTAGTTGCAGAGAGTGGGGAAGGATATTTGAGGAAAGGATATTGGAGGAAAGTATGTTCCGTGATACCTTTGGTTTTAAATTTGGCATGGAAAATCAAGATAGGGTGTTCGTGATAATTTTTAAGATAGGACATTTAGGTTAGGTAGGATGTTTATGAAGAGGGTTAATTCAAAGATAAAATGTCTGACGGCGAGGGAAATCGGGATGAAGCGTTTGTGAAGGGGGTGTAATAATAATAAAATTATTCTTTATATAATAAAATTAATTAAAAATATTATAAATAAATTTAAATTTTAATAAAATATTCTTTTTATTAATTTTTTAATTTTTAAAATAAGAAGTCTATTTTTGGGTATGGCGCCAGATAATTGCACAGGAGGTTGATAATTTATATAGGGGAAGTAAGATTTGAAAGTAGGATTGTAGGGGGTTATCACACTAGTACTGGTCACTGATGACCACCATGGCAGTCAACGCGTTAATTAAACAAATGCGATAAAGTTACGTAAAAGATACAGAATTTTTAATCGAAGATTTAAGGCCGGTTTAGAACAATTCGAAACATAGCAGGTTTAATGAGAATTAATTATCATTAACCCGCATAACTTCTGGTATTATGCAAGCCTAATGAACACCGGCATTCCAACCGCAAATTCTACTCTTCGTCCAAAGAAGGAGCAACTATTCGCGATCACAGAATGTTAATAACGCGAGGGGATTCCGAACACGGAGAGATCCCAGTTACCTGTAGCGTTAATCGGTTCGAAAATCCAAGCGCGGCATAAACGAAGAGGTGACAACGAAATCTTTTAGCTCCTTATTAAATTTAATCGTCAAAAGATCGAATGGGTGAGGAAAAGTTTGAGAAACGGGTGTCAGGACGCGACGTGGCCAGAACTTCGTTTGGATTAAGAGGAACTCTGGGAACGACGACGATGGAAAGGCTTGAAGAGCTTTCCGAGGAACGAAGCGTTTTCGGCCCAGTCACTGATGCAAGATCCCGTCAGAATTTCCAAGATTATTCTCCCAGTGTCCCGAAGATTATCCCCATAAAGCGATCATCGTGCTCTTCTTCTAACGTCGCACAGCTTCCCGAGGAATTCTTTGCGGGTTATCGAACAGTCCTATAGATCTCTGCCATTCTCGAAGGGTTGATATTAAAACGTTGTACGTGGATGGTCATTATTCTTTGTATTTCTTCGTGATAAATTGAGCATATGAATCGCCAAGTTAGCGTTGCATGTTATTTTCCAGTAACGAAAGTGTTTCGATGAAAATCGGACTTATTTAGGTATTTTTGTTAGGAGGTTGGCAACACTTGGTCCAATCCTATGCGATTGGTCGAAGATCTATAATAAATGTAATCTATGGCCTTCCTTTATCTCGTGAGGATTTGATGGTTATCACTGTATACCGAGTCCTTGATACATTTTGCATTTGTTTAAAATTATAAACAGTGATAGTAAAATCAAAATTTATGAATTACAGATTCGACCATTTTTCTCTATTATGATAATTTAATTGTAGAGTGAATTTACAGGGAAATCCAATAAGTAGAAAAGGAAATTCTGATGGCTTATATATATCATGTATATATATATACAAGTATCTATGTACTCGTACCTTCATCGAGTAAAGAATATTTGTCACTTTGATGAACGATTAATCCTTCCTTGTATAATTTATTCGTCATAAATACTTGTCAAAATGTGTGGTTTTAAAATCTTCCTTGTACGTCGGTATCACCAAACGAGCATGAATTTATAGTTCAAATTATCTTCTGCTATAGTCTGTTGGTTTGTATTTATGTTTCTGTATAAATTAAAAATATTTGTGCTACGAATTCCTTTTCTTCTTGTTTTATATTCATCAAAATCGTGGATAATGTGTCTCGATTCCTGTAGCGTCTGATCCTGGCATAAAGATCAATTTCGAGAAAATATTTTCGAAATTTATTCGGATTATCTACAGCCACATAAAGATGCTTCATTGCATTTTTAGTAAAAGATTCTGCCATAAACTGCGAGCATTTTATAACTGTTCACAATTAGCGATAGTTTAGTTAACGTTTAAACTAATTTTTCTTTCAGAATATTTTTATTCAATTACCTACTTGCTACCAAAATTCCTGTCGAACGATGAATTCGTAGAATAAAGTAGCATTGGATTTAAAATAATCCGTGAACTTCGTTTTAGGTATTGTTCTATCTTTACCAACTCACTTCCACCAAACAGAGGAAAAAAATATTTAATACAAGCAAAGTTAGTCTCTCAGCAAAGCATTAATTAACTCACATTTACGTCCAACCACCGAGTTAAAACTGTGAAACAGAAGCAACATACATAATCAAATTCCTCATCGCGATTATGGCGTCGGTTGTTAGGTTAGGTTAAGGTTCGTAGGACGATCGTTGTAATATTCGCGTTAAAACGTAAACGGTCGTTTCTGCCGAGGCAGAAAAAAGTTCAGTAGTCGTTACCTTTGTTAGTACTTACAAAATTAACGACAATTACGAGCTAACAAGCGCCGGCGCCAGAGGTGATCGCTAGAAATGTTTCTCGTTCATTCAACCGGTCGATTTTTAACCGAGCTTTCATTCGATTTTAACAACGAAAGATTATTCTTGCAAATTTGTAAGGACGCGTCGCATAAAAATCGAAAAAATTCGCGTATCGTTAAATTTTGAGTTAATTAAATAGGTTAGTCGCGGCGCTGTCGGTTAAACGGACGATTAGTGCGCGCGCCATTTTGTTGGCATTTGACGCCATTTTAGAGGAACGCAGTTCATCACGCAACTCACTGTATTAATGTCTACGTCGTCAGGCCCGTCGACCAACTCGATATTCACATCGCCTGAGCCGAGATCCTCGTCTTGGTCGAACTACAAAAGAAATTTGAAATTAGAACGTGGACGCTTTAAAACAAATTGAAGAGAAAATTGATGCGACATTCCGTATATAAAAATTGGCTGTTATATTTATTATGGAGGGTGTATCTAGGTAGAGGGTTATCTTGTTTATACTGTTATCGAAAAATATGTACAGATAATAACGGGGACGAAATTAAAATGGCGATTTAGTATCCCTGAATTTTATATGGGTCGATATTAATTTATAATTTATTTCACACGTGAAAAATTCGAAGTAATTAATCCTTTAATTTGGGGGGTTCTCCCCCCACGGTTGCTGTAGCAGGTTGGTTGGCAGGTATCTTCGATATGGTGGGGGTGCTAGTGGGAATGAAAGGAAATGTAAGGGATGCGTTTCGTCCTGGGCCTGCTAGTGGGCTCGACAGTAAGAATACCTAGCAGGCCCTGACAGTAAGGGTACCTAGGTCCTGGTACTATAGAAAAATCTGGAAATTTTATATATTATATAGGAAACGAAGGAATTTGCCGAAGACTTGCGAAAAAATCATCGAATCTCCTTAAACTTGGAATCCATTTAGTGGCGAAGGTGAGAATAATGGCGCCACAGATCTGTTACTTTCCATATTGATTTGCTTTCATTTGAATCTCCATAATTGAAGAGCAAACCATGTAAATTATCCACAAGAAAAAATTACGTTTTGTTCGCAATAAAAATTACTTAATCTAATCCAAACAACGAAAATTACCCTTAGTTTTGACTATCGTCTCTGACACGTCATTGTACACTTCGACCCAATAAGCGCCAATAAGTGGAAAAGGCTCATAACAGAGAAAAACGGTGAACGCGAGTGGACAAGACAAAAACCATTGGGAAAAACGTTCGTTGACGAATAATCCATTGATGGGTTTGCAATATTTTAGACGATCGAAGGGGTGGGGGTAATTTCAAGAAAAATTTGAATTATTTCTTACTTTTCATATATACATTGCTGTTTAATTAACCACTTTCTTAATATAATCTCATTTTAATAATAAATATAATTACTACACGTGTCAAAAACGTCACATGATACTGAGACTACCGATTAAATGTATCAAGGTATTAAATCTTGGGACTGGTATATACAAAACTATTCACTGACATTCGAAGATTTGCTTAAGATAATATTAAAAGACTTGCAGTTGCTAAGATCGTTATAAAGATAATTTTTATCAACGACGAAACGTTTGTAAATAATATTTTCAACACGAAAGCCACTAATAAATTTTCTATGTCATATAATAAGGACTTGGAATGAAAAGAAAAGGCGAGGTGACGTTTCATTTACACCGTAACAATAAATACCATTAACGATAAGATAACGTGGCCCGATCGCACGTAATAGGTACACGTGCATCATCGATATCGGTATCGTAATTATATGTTATATCACTGACACAAACGGGATAATTAATTATCCCTAATATCCGGCGGTATACGGCAAGCCTTATGCTCGTTTTACGTTAAACATCGCAATGCAAATTTACACAGCGCAAAATGGACGGGGTTAAGGTACAGGTAATTGCGAGCTAAGCGAGGCCAAATGTCGAGGCAATACAGAGTTAAACAAACCGAATTAATTCCCTAGTATCCCATCAATTTCTGCGAGAGGAAATCAGTCTTCCATTATAATTGTTTCGCATACGCTACGTGTGACTCTGTCGAAACGCACGTTTGTCACGTCTAATCATCATCTTTCCTCGAGCAACTACGATGCTTCCAGTAATTAGTTTACCGTAGTCCTTTGTGTCCTCGCTCGACCTACATTCGCGAAATTTTACGTATTTCCTTTCTTCTTATTATTATCAATTTTTCCCTTTCGTGTAAATTTATAGTTCCCTAATTTCTTCCTTTCGTTTCACTGTATCAAATTAAATTGCTCTTTCTTCTATTTCCTTTCTACGCGCGATGGAAATATATGTTCTATGTAAATTTTGATTTATTTAACATTGCTGTATTTTAATTATTTCTTCCTTGAATGCACGATTTTCATTTTAATTTTAATTATTCTTTCCTTAGATGGTCGAATTTCGTTTTAATTTTAAATTAAATCAGGCTCTTCCGCGATATTAAGTTTCGATTGAATTAATTTAACAATATTCTGTTGCATCCAATGCCACCTAAAAGGACAAATGAAAGTGAAAAGGAGTGCATGATTAAGGAAATTACAAGCTTCGATAAGTTCCTTCTTGAATTTCTAACACGTCAGGTTCGTAATAATTTGAATATTTTTATTTTTATTTGTTACCATTAATTTTATACCTCACTGTAATAATTTTCTTGTAATTTTTCTAACGGATTAATCCCATGTAAATAAATAAATAAATAATCGTGATAAGTGTAATTAATTTATTAAAACCATAATTCTCATTTCTGTCTATCAATTAAATATTGAAATCGGTTGATAAATTCTTTTAAAGTACTCGAAAATATTTTTATTTATCACAAGATACAATTTACTAGAAAACTTAACCACGTCCCTGTATTTACATTTTCTCGTATAATATTCAAATATCGCTTTGGTTTGATCAAGCAAATTGTTCTACGGATAGTTTCTACCAAAATTCCTTTCTCTTACGACCAAAGAGAGAGCGGGAATTTTGGAGTCCAACAATCGTTACGGTAACCACACCGGAATTAACGAAACGCAATTAAAACGTTGGATCGAATTTCATTGACGCCTTTAATTCGAGCGTTGAATACTCGGGTCTTAAGCGCTTTCTATATCCATTCACGACGATTGCTATTTATTTAAAAGCGTTTATTGCCGGTTTTCTGCCACCAGACATCAATTAACCGCTCTATAATAGTATTTTTCTTCACCGTTTACCATTTCGACGAAGCAGAAAGAGAGCTAAACGTATATTCTCTAAAAATTTGTGAAATTTACAGGACAACTATTTGCAAAATTTTTGTCGATAGAGATTTCCGAATGCATCTAAGAGGAAAATATCTAAATATTCTGAAACGGAAAATACGCAGAGCATTCTTATAATAAATGGCACACTCACGAGCGCTAGTCCATAGCATTTAAAGTACCCGGCGTGTGATCATTTATCAAACGGATATACATCGACACGTAAGTATCTCGAAACGAAAAATATAAATACGTGACTTGCGCTACTTTCGTGATAAATAGCATACGTATAAGTACTTATAAGGCGAATTTCTCTAGGCCATAGAATTTTAAGAGCCGAGCACACGACATTGATTAAATATATTCACGTCGCATCTAAATGTCCCAAAACAAAGAAAAACAAAAATATTTTACTATCCCAAATCGTTATAGTAACAAACAAAACACTTACAAACAACAATGCCTATTTCTTTAATCCACAAAAATATTATATATTAGGTCTACCGGAAAGTTCTGTTTAGAATAAAACAAAATAATAAATTTCTCATACCTTGAATAAACTTTATCGAATAATATAATTGCCATCATTATCTATGACTTCTTACTAAATATTGTCAAAAAAGGATTTTGCTCTAACATGATCCTGACAGTATCGTCGATCAAAGATGGTGGCCCAGAGCGTGGCTTAACAGAAAGGTCGAAATCATCCACTTGAAATTTTTCGAACCATCTTCTGCATGTTCCATCTGAAGCTGTATCTTCACCAAACACTTTCAATAAATTTCTATACATTTCTGTAGCATTTCTTCCTTGTTGGAATTCGTACGAAATATGAACTTTTTGGAGGCCATCTGTATACCTATTTCTAAGGACACCTGTCAAATCGACAGGTAAAGGAAACCACGTGCCTTTTCTTTTCTAAGGATTAGTTTGATTTAAAAGCAATTATATATTATATTAACAGTCTTAATTAAGTTAACTAAATCTGTTACCATCGTATAATTTGAGCAACCCTCCCGTCAAATTGACGGGTTCCGTAAATCTAGTGTTAATACTAACACGAATCATCATCGTTTTAGTTCATTTGCTAGGCCAGTATGTATACAATCAGTGATAGAAAGAGAGAGAGCCAAACATTCGTCAAATGAATATGCGCATATTTGTTGAAATTTGTTGTAACCGGAAAGGACAGAACTTTCAGGTACACCTAATAAAAGAGCAGAAGGTGCTACCACTGATCAAACGCATTCACGCGGCATCTAAATATCTGAGAAAGGAAAATATACTTATGCATCGTTGCTGTTGTAGCATAAACTAAATACTAAATGTGGGCAACTTTCACCGCTGCCCATTTTCATCCGGCGGGAGAAAGAAAGAATTCCCTTCGTTGGAATTCTAAGAAGGCATCACCGAGGCCTAAGAATCACAGCCACAGATGGGGATGCTTAGAGGCCAAGTGGTCTGGACCAGAATTCAGCCGAAAAGGCTAGGGACACGTGAAGACGAGGCGACGAAGAGAGACACGCCCTATAAAACAGCGAGGGATGCGTTTCTGGGGCACTAGCCAACCAGCGTACCGAAGGAATAAAAGAGTTACCAAGGAGCAAAGTGACTAGTTACTAAAATCCTTGCTACATAAAATAAATTCTACATCCCAGCGATGTGGAGGCGATCCCTTTCCTACGTTTTGTCTTTTGTCTCCCGTTTTCTGGACACGTCTTTGACCTGCGTAGCTCTAAACAGACATGTCAGTCCTAACCGTTCGCCTGTTTATTAAACATCTATACAGTTTTACCACCGTTTCCATTTGCTATTAATTATTTGCATTATAACCATAACTTAACAGTTGCCAAGGTCCATTTTCGTGACAAACGAGACACTTACGAGTACCAGTAGCAATTTTGCTAGTCGATGAAATATAAATTGCCGAGCGAGAGGCGATCCAACGAACCGATTCGCACAAGCTCGTCGATGAAAGTCAAACTTCCGATCGAAATTAGAAACTAATCCACTCGAATGCCAGCGTGTAATACACTTTACACACTGTTAACACGGTCGCTGTCATTCCGTGTGCACGAGCAGGCCAGTCGACCGGGCTTAATTAATCTCATTCCA